TATGATAATTCTTGTGAATTATGTTGTTATCTAGAAATATATTTTATATATAAAACTTAAATTTTAATTAAGATATAAAATAGATTTATTATATAACTAAAACGAAATTATATTAATAATTTATATTTTTCTAAAATAAGATAATTCTTATGTATTATGTTTTTATGTTGAAAATATATTTTCGTATTAAAAAAATTAAATTAAGATATAAAAATTATATTATTAATAATTAAAGATAAATCATCAAAACAATTACTTGAAAAGTGAAGTTGTTGATTTGTCTCCATGATCCTAGGTAATTTTGATCATTTATCATAATTTCTCAAATTTTGTTTATTATTGGTTATAGAATTAAAGCTAATTTATATTAATATATGAGATTTTAGAAAATAAGTTAATTTTTATATACTATGTTGTTATCTTGAAAATATAGTTTTCCATTAAAAAGTTTAAAATTAACATGTAAAAAATCTATACTATTATTTAAGAAGTTAATTTGATGTTTGTTGATTTGTCATATTTTCCATGATTTTTGGTAATTTAATAATTTATCATAATTTCTATAATTTTATATTAAAACAAATTTATATTGGTAGTATCAGATTTTTATAAAATAAGATACTTATTCTGTATTAAGTTCTTTTCTTGAAAATATATTTTTCTATTAGAAATTTAAAATTAAGATATAAAAGTTGTAGTTATTCTATAATTGAAATAAATTTACACTAATAATAGTATCTTTTAGAAAATAAGGTAATTCTTATGTATTATGTTGTTATCTTGAAAATAAATTTTATATTAAATAATTTAAAAGTAAAATAGAAAATTATCAATTATTAATTAAATATAAATCATCACTCAAGAAAAATTATTTAAGAAGTGAATTTGTTGATTCATTAAGTTCTCCATGATTTTAGGTAATTTTAGTTATATGTCATAATTTCTATAATCTTATATAATTATTATATAATTAAAACAAATTTATCATATTCTATTTTTTGAAAATAAATAACTTATGGATTATATTGTATCTTCAAAATATGTTTTTCTGTTATAAAATGTAAAAGTAAGATATAAAAAATTAAAATCAAATATAAATTAAGTAAAAATATTTGTATAAATATTATAATTAATATAAATCAAGCAAAATAATTATAGAAATATATTCTTTTAAATATTTCTGATGTTTGAGTTTTATCATTGATAATTATTTGATGTTTCATTTGTACTTTTGAAAACATAAATAATAACTTATTATACTGGTTTTTAAATTAATGAAACATCAGCTAATAAATAGTTATAAGAGAATTATACCCGCAAGTGCGAGCAAAACACCTAATTCTACATATATCAGTACAAACTACCAAGAAAAAATTGTAATCTACGATGATGGGTAAAAGCTCAATAAAAATATACGTTATTATGCTTTTTGTCTGTCAAGATGATAAGCAATGCCGAAGAAATGGTTACAATGTTTTCCGCTGGAAAACAAAAGAGGCAGAAAAAACAATATAGTATATATACTATTAAAAGTGAAGGCACCCTTGAAAAATCGACTAATGGAAGTTGTGTGCACCTTTCATTAATGGCATTTTGGTAGTTTACTTTCGTCTTACATCTATATATATATGGATTTGTTACAAATCATATCACATATTGCATATACCCGAATTATTCTCTCTCTTTCCGTTAATTACTCTAACCATTAATTATTCTCACTCTTCCCATTAATTACTCTAACCATATTTTATACTATATTTCATATATTTATTGATTTCCAACATTATATTACACGATTTGGTATATGCATCATATATGGAATTTATAACCACATTTCATACTATATTTCATACATTTATATTGTATTATACACCTAATATTACATAATTTCAATATATAGATTTTCAGCATTTTACCTTTATAGTTGAATTTTTTGGTATATAAATTATATATGGACTTTATAATCATATTCCAAATTATATTTCATACATTTATATTGTGTTATACACCTAATATTACACGATTTCAATATATATATTTTCAACATTATACTTTTTTGGTTAACATTTTTTGGTATATGCATCATACATGGACTTTATAAACCTTCATTTCATTTATATTGTGTTATAGACCTTCATTTCATGATTTATCTTCATATATGAAATATGTTTTCATGTCTCACTAAATTTACCCGTATTTATATATCATACTATATTTCATACAATTATATTGTGTTATAGACCTTATATTACATGATTTCAATCTATATATTTCCAACACTATACTTTTTTGGTTGACATTTTTTGGTATATACATCATACATGAACTATATAAACCTTCATTTCATTTATATTGAGTTATAAACCTTCATTTCATGATCTATTTTCATATATGAAATATGTTTTCATGTCTCGCTAAATTTATCTGTATTTATAAACCATACTATATTTCATACATTTATATTGTGTTATAGATCTTATATTACACGATTTCAATCTATAGATTTCCAACATTATACTTTTTTGGTTGACATTTTTGGGTATATGCATTATACATGGACTTTATAAACTTCATTTCATTTATATTGTGTTATAGACCTTCATTTCATGTTTTCTTCATATATGAAATATCTTTTCATTTCTCGCTAAATTTATCTGTATTTATATACCATAGTTAGACGACATATAGTGATATCAACCAAAAAAAAATATATCATTACTCTCATGTTGACATTTTATGGACGAGATACATTTTGTTAAGAAAATATTGCAAATACGGTTTTCTATAATTATCTTCTTACTAAAATAAAGAAATTGCTTTACCTAAAAATTATAGATTAACCACAATCAATATCGTAGATTCCATAAATTTCGTAACTTACCGTAGTTGGATTACCATTAACTGTTAAACTTTAAACTTCCTAAATATTCAAAATCTTCAAGAAATATTCCTTATTCCGCGAAAGAGATATTTTAAAAAATACGTATGAAATATTCTCCCCTATATTCGCGTAACCTAATTGTATATCGTCCCTACCTATTATAACTATAGCATCACTTAACCATTATATTTATCATCCCTTCAAAACCCTAAAACAAAAAAGGCAAATAATTTGGAGGTGTCTTTCTTGAGCGATATAAAACCGAGGAAGACTGTTGTCACATCCAAGTCAAAATCCTTCATACGTGGAGACATTTCATGAAAGACTAAGGGAGTCCATGGAACTAATCCTTTGTGATGCAAATGTAAATTTATCGTTTTGTGTAGATTTTTGATTTAGATATCTTCATTTTGTTAAAGTTTAACCTAAATGATAATGTTTTATGTTTATATAGGGAAGTAAGATCCTTGCCTCGTGTAACAAGACATACATTCCTCAATTGGCAAAAGAAATTGCTCAAATGCTTATGATTTATTTTTGGTTATAAGTGAGGTCCAAATATCAAATGCTTATGACGTAAGTCAGATGTTTGTTAATCCTGAATTACCAGATACAGATGAATTTAAACAACGGTATTTATCTTTTTCAAAGTTTTCACTTTATAATAGTATATACTAAATTATAAAACTTATTTATAATCGCATAGGTAATGATGATTCTCGAGCGTTAATCCTGGCTGAATCAAAATTGCAGAGGTAATGTTGATTCTCCATCGATTCGTTTTAGGATTATGTTTGTTTAGAAATAATGTTTTTAGTTATGTTTTGACAATCGTGTAATGATGATCCTCCAGCGTTAATCCTGGCTGAATCAAAATCGCAATTTGTTTTCACCCAATAATTTTCATTTTAAATAATATTTGCTTTTTCTTGACGATTTATAGACTGATTTATTTATATGAAAAATACATAGTGTTGTATAAAACAGATCAATATACTATAATATAATAAACGAAAATTGATTTATACTATATTTGATGCATATTGAAACAGAAAATGAGATACTTCTCATTTGTTACTCCAGAATCTTGCAATATTTAAATTATACCTTATATACTTGGAGTTATCCTTGACTCTCATAAAAAAATATTTTTGAGTTACCTTTGACTCTCATAAATTAATTTAATATTTTATTTTATGGTTACCTTTAAGCGCGGATCAAAATTGAATAACTTTTATTGTTCAAAAATCATAGATGTAATTATTTTAACTAACATAAATAAACTATATAAGAAGCGCGGGTCAAAACTGAATATTATTTTTATTGTTCAAAAACCATAGATGTAATTATTTTAACTAACATAAATAAATTATATAAGAAGCGCGGGTCAAAATTGAATATTATTTTTATTGTTCAAAATCATAAATGTAATTATTTTAACTAACATAAATAAACTATATACTTCGATTAATATATTTATTAGATTTAACTACAAATTTGTAATACAATTTTGGGCATATTCAATAGTATTGATTTTTCAAATTTACTATAGGCCATGGACCCATCCAATTTTAGTTTCAATCTAATATGTGTTTTAATTCTTCATACTCTCACAGCACTTAATTTTTTGATTCTCGGTTCAATCACAAACTGACTCGGTTATGCAAAACTCAATGAAAAGATCCTACTAAAAGGTTAAATATACATCAAATTTCACATATAAAACTATCATATAATAAATATAGAATCATTTGATACATTTTGTTACAACCAAAATAAAGAAAGAAAACTATTATTTAAAAGAAAGAAAGACAAAAAACTCGTTGATGTTGAGACGAAAAATTTGTGGTGAAAAATGCAGCATTGTACTATAGGATACGCTGGATCCGAATAAAAAATCATCTAGTAAGTGTTTTAAGGTGTTGCTAAAATGTGTTTTTGTATGTGTGGTAAAACCAGTGTGGTAAGAAACTATGTACCAATATATTGTCTAGGGCTGGTCCTGGGCCAAGCGGGTGAAACATTTGCCTTAGGCCCCCAAATTTTTTTACAAAAAGTTATATGTACATAAGCCCCTGAAAAAAAATTAGGTCCCTAAATCTGAAAAAAAATATTTAGTTGAAATCGTTAAAATATCGTCTCAGGCTTTCGAAATCTCATAGCCGACCCTCGAAATCTCAGGGCTGACCCTTTAAATCTCAGGGTCGACCCTGTATATTGGTGAATGAAATAGTTGATCTTGAGAAAAAAAAAAAAAAAAAGATGACAAACTCGAAAACAATGGTTGATTGTACCATACAACATACTATTGCATTTTGGTTCTTTATATAAATATATTAACCACCGGAAGAGTTGTTTATGCCACCGTTGACCGCCGCTCTCTACGCCGTCTTTCCTTTCTGAAGCAAAAGAAAATCCATTTCTCACATTAGTCTTTTCCTCAAATTGTATATATCTTACCTTTTTATTAATCTACGCTTTTAAGAAAATGACTATGACTGATGAACTGACCTTTTTATCTTCTTCGATCTTGGCCTTAATGATAGAGTAGAGTGCAACTCCAGCAATAGCTATTCCAGTTCCGATACCTGTCTGCGTCGATATCTTGTTTCCTGCAAATTGATAACCATTTTTAAAGTACATTAGTTATTCTCTTTTTCTTTTTTTAAAAAAAAAGAAAGGTGAAAAGAGTTGTAATCTCTTACCGAAGATGACGATGGAGAACCCGATCACAAACACACGTTTCAGTACGTTTCCAACAGCATGAGTCAATGGTGCAACCCTCTCCAAGGTATTAGTAGCCAACTGCAACCGTTCGTAGCTTTCTAAAGTTTAAGGTTAAAGATGAAACTTTGAAAATTAAATTTACATTACCTGATTATAGAGATGGTAAAACATTCCAACCCAAAAAAGATCAGAGATGAACTTAGTCATTCCCACTTTAGCAATCGCGTCACTGAAACCATGTTTCAACAGTTGAGGCCCTTCAACCTAACCATAAGATAAACCCTAATAGATGAGTTGCTTGACTCACACGTAACTAATGAGAAATAATACGAGTGAATTCAAAAGACTTAACGATGATGGCAGGAGGAATGCAGACGATGAGAGCGATGATGGAGATGTAAGCGTATACATTTGTACTGTCCATATCAGTCTGCACACAAAAAGACCCAATCTGATTCTCAACATTGAAACTTGATAGACTTAATTAGGAGTGTGAAGAAGAGAATGAAGAACCATGGCTTTCTTGGAGAAGATGCTTCTGTAAGTGAAGGAGATGTTTGATATCATCGCACTGATGAATCCAAGCCAGTTGAATGATAACTCAGTTAGAGAAGCCATTGCAACTCCTGCGATTTTCCTTTAAGGTTAATCTGATAAACTTAGGACACAAGAAAGAAATGAGTTTAGTTTGAGAGATTACCGAGAACAACTGGAGCTAAGGACAACCATAGTGTTATGGGGATTGACTGTCCAAGAAGGAACTGAGAAGCAGACGCATTGAAGAATGGCTCGAGCGCTGCGTTTTCGACATGATAGATGTTAGGCTTTGTTATATGTATATATCAGTATCAAAATGGTTTTCAAAAGAAATTGGGTAACCTTTGATGGTGTGAGTGAAGGAGACAGCGACGGCAGCGAAGGAAACGTTGCTAGTGATGTGGCCTATGGCGTGACAGACTGCAACTGGGATCAATACCTTGAGGAGGTTCGAGTCAATTGGCTGCAATAGATATAGACAAGGTTAATAAAAGCATAAGATATATATATACCAATTGGGCGTTTGGTCTAGTGGTATGATTCTCGCTTTGGGTGCGAGAGGTCCCGAGTTCGATTCTCGGAACGCCCCTCTTTTATTTACCGTTTTGCATTAAGTAACACACTAATGAAAACTGTAAGTTAGGAAGAGAAGACTCACGGCACGTTTAGGAAGGCCCACGGACCAGCTCGCCAAACAGTAGACAACTCCAACGAACAAGTGAACAGCTGAAACAAAACTGAAAAAAATACAAAAGATAATTTATATTAAAAAAACAAAACAAATGTATTCTCTTGATTTGTATGGTAAATGAAATTCAAAAGAAAAACTGTAATTTGTTTGGGTGTTAAACGAATTATAGAACATTTTACAATAAAGAATATTAAATCAAGAAAACAGAAAGAACCATATCTCAACTAGACCAGTACTGCACGATGGACTCATTCGAACAACATTATTCAGGTTCGACTCTAAAATTGGACCAAAGCTATGATTCGATCATATATAAACCGAAACTTTTAAATATAGTGAATAAACTTTTACAACAATTTACAGATGATCAAATGTATATACACAAAGACTAAAAATATCAATGTATATAAATGTAGATATGGTTTCTTATGTCAAAAACAATTTAAATGTATTTTACTCACTAGGGATAGGGGAAGTAATTATAGATCTTCTTGTTAAGGATGTTGAAAATCACGTTCAAGAAATACCTGTAATAAAATCAATAAAAGGTAAAATTGTCAAAATATACGCTATTAAACTTTGGCGGTAAAGCAACAGAGCGCATGAAGGGACACGTACCACATGAAGAAGAAGAATCCGGTGACAAGCCATGGATACTTCCCGAGGAATCCAATTTTCGTCTCCCTGCACAAAACAAAAACCGAGTCAGATCACACGAGTCAGATCAACACCGTGCGAGCAAGAAATAGACCTCATTGCTTACCCAGCTGAATCACCACCTTGGGCAGCGGTGGCTCTAACCGGCTTGAGAATCTCTCTCTTTTCAGGCGAACTATCGAGGAGGAGGATTGGACGGAGCTGACGACCAGAGATCAGGTTTTCTCCCTCTCCGATTGCTCCAACCGGCTTAGAAAAAGCTGTGATGGATGACGACGCAGTGTTGAGTTGCCGGTGGATCGCTCCGATCGGTCGTCTCAGTTGCGGTAATCCGGTGACTGTGGCGCGTAGCAGCACGCGTGACTCCATCTTCGAGGTTGATACAATGGTTTTTGGAACGATGAGTTTTGACAGTGAGAGGGAAGCGAAACAAAAGTATGTGGTTTTTGCGTATTTTAATAGTGGATACCTTGTGATCAAGTATTTCGCGGTATATGGTATTACAGTTGGATCGATAGTGTAATATGATCTAACGGTGAGAAAAGATGAGATTAGACAAGAATCCTGAGTTTATTGGTTTAGATTGGATGACTGTAGGACCCATCTTATCCTAAAGTCTATGGCTGAAAAGACAGAGTGAGAATTGACTGTCTGAATTTCCACATCATCATCATCGTCTATTTTTCTGTTTTGTATAATGTATTTTGTTTATTTGTCATTTTGAAGATGAAAATAATAATGTCAACACAAATTTTTTGTAGATATTTTTCCTCCTATTGACATTGTGTTGAGTGGTCTTCAAATCTATGAACGTGATACAGTCACAAGAAAAGTTGATTTTTTTCTAAAACTTACTGGTTATTGAAGGTATAAATATTGATGATTATTTCCTTCCTTTTATTGGTTACATGTAGGGATTTGATTGCAGCTTCTGTGATTCATATACTTTTTCAGATTTTAAAATATTTTATCAAATTACTTTATCTTTTTTGCTATACATTTTTATGTTCCTAAAAATTAAACAAGACACCTATAACTAAAATAATACTTCAATATTTCAAGTATATGGAATTTTAGAAAATTATAATTTAAAATAAAAATACATTTTAATGTTGGCGTTTGGCAAATTCAAAATTTGAAAATACATTACAGTTTTGTTTATAGGTAAGTTACCCGTAGTCAACCACTTGAACTATAGTTTGTTGTGTGGTAGAGAGACTCACTAAAGCCTCGCATAGGAAAATCTTGCCGTTCCGTTCTATAAACCTTAATCCAAGTGGCCAAACTGGTTATCGATTCTTCTCCGGCGGTTTTATCCACCATCTAGATCGTAACAAGTTTCATTGCTCACTCGATTTTGGTTGAATTACCGAGAAGAATCATATACCCAAAAAAAAGTGTTTGGATCAACCGCGCAATTTCAAAGACAGCCGAGAAAAAAAACGTTAACGTCATGTACCTGTTGTTAATGCCCACCAAGTGTTCGACGTAATGCGTAGCTGGGTTTCTTTATAATCGTTTTATTACTCTCTTTCTTGTAGAAAGGCTTCATTTTTAAGTAATGGGAAGCAAAAAAGTGAAGATGTTCAAGTGGCCAAAATACATCATCTCTTCACAGGTTATCAAACTGATGAGAACTGAAAAAGACGTTGTTGGTGTCAAAATCGGTCACGACAGAAACAATGGCTAAAAGTATCCGCAAAAATAAAAATACGTTTTATAAAACTCAAGAAGTCGTTTTATAAAACTCGATAAGTGGTTTTATAAAACTCAAGAAGCCGTTTTATAAAACTCAAGAAGTCTTTTTATAAAACTCGATAAGTCGTTTTATAAAACTCGAGAAGTCGTTTTATAAAACTCGAGAAATAGTTTTATAAGCAAAGGAAATCCGCGGAAAAATCGGAAATCGTTATCTCGAAAGAACGAAACAAACACCGATTACACGATCTTCCGAGTTAAGCACAAAACCACGAAAAACCGTAACCGTCGTAACCGGTCCGGTTCGTCGTACGTCGAGCTAATTATCCTGACCCTCGATCTCCAACGTCCTTGAATCAAGGCATATGTCCTTCGGCACGATCGTGTTCCAAACCACGGTCGGAATGTCGCTCGTTTCGTCTCAATCCGTCCTATCGTTCGAGTTTTACGATAAAAACCGTAACGTCTTGTTTTCTTGAAAGAACTCAAGGAAATCGTATAAAACGGCAATGGTTAAACAAAACACCGAACATTGCCTAAACTATATGATTTACTCAAGATTTTTTGTGAGAAATCGTAAAAAACGCGTTTTTAATAAAAACGTCGAGTAAATCGTAAAAAACGGCAACGATTAACCGGAACATCAAACATTGCCAAACTTTACGATTAACTCGAGAAATTTACTTAAAAACGGCATCGCATCAGGAAACGATCTCGTCTAAAGTCGTAAAACGGTTTCTTATCGCTAAACGGCTCGGAAAGTCTTAAATTGCGATAAAAGCCCACTCGCAACTTTAACGAAATCTAACCTAAAGATACGACGACGTTTTAATGATTTACTCATAGGAAAGAAGATAAATGTCAAATTCGAAGATAAATGGCAAGTTTGAAGATAAATAGAAGAATTCTGCGGGAAAAAGGGAAAAATCGAGATAAATGGAAGATTCTCGATAAACTCGAATTTGGGCGAAATGGAAAGACTAAACCGCCTAGGAAGGGACTATATAAGCAAGAGACAGAAGACATAAGCAAAGGACAAATTTCAGAGCTCTCATCTGAGACTTTTACAACTTTTCTAGACTTAGAATTTTCCGCACTAAGAAACTTAGACTTTTTTCTCGACAAGTTCGGTTTCTCTGACTGGCGCTCAATTACTAGACGAACTCACCCAGATAGTTCGATCTCTGTTCCAGATCTATCAACTGAACTATGTTCGACTTGATCCTCGAAAGGGGCACGTAGGCATACTTTCATAAGGTTCAGTCCGAAATCGATAAAACTCTCTTTTTCTTATATTTTTCGTCTTTTGTTATCGAGCTGAGACTCGACTAGGTTTAGGGTTTTATTTTGATAACTCGCTGACGGACCCTGCGGCTAAAGCCTTTGTAACCCTTGTAATGATCGCAACGCTCTTACGCGAAATCGAAATAAGATATACTTTTTCTATAAATTCGTTTTATTACGTTTTTCATATTTTTTTCTGCATTTATTTGGTTACTTGTCGTTGGCTTTGGCAGAGATCCGGGTCCTCTGGAAAATTAGGGTTTTCCTAAGTTTCCTTATTTTACGGAAATCGACGGTGTGAATTTCGGTTCCCACAGACGTTGAGAAGTTAACTGCAGTTTTCCACTCCGCAACAACATAATACGTTAATGGGTTCTTACACGACCAGAACTCTTTTAGTTACATGATATCTAAATTAGTCTCCACCAATAAATTCAAAGCAGCTGAAGTTCTCTTTTCAAGAATGAAGATTGAGAATTGTCTTGTTAGCGAAGATGTATTGCTTTCGATATGCAGAGGGTACGTTAGGGTTCATAGGCCGTTTCATTCTTTGAGGGTTTTTCACAAGACGAAGGATTTTGATTGTGATCCTACCCACAAGGGTTACATCACTGTTCTTGCTATTCTCGTGGAAGAGAATCAATTAAAGTTTGTTTTTAAGTTTTACAAGAACATGAGAGAATTGGTTTTCCTCCTACCGTTGCTTCTCTCAATGTTTTGATCAAAGCCCTCTGTAGAAATGAGAAGACGGTGGATGTTGGTGTTAAGATATTCCTTGAAATGCCTAAACGAGGGTGTGATCCGGATTGCTACACATATGGAACCTTGATTAGTGGGTTTTTTCGGTTCGGGAGGATAGATGAGGCCAAGTTGTTTGAAGAGATGGTTGAGAAACACTGTTCACTAACTGTTGTTACATATAACTCTATGATCCACGGTTTGTGTGAGGCAAAAAATGTTGGGGAAGCAATGAGATATCTAGAAGAGATGAAGAGTAAAGACATCGAGCCGAATGTTTTCACTTACAGTTTTTAATGGATGGCCTTTGCAAAGATGGTTGAGCTTAAGCCATGGGGTTATTTGAGATGATGATGGCTAGTGGATGTAGACCAAACATGGTGACTTATAGCACTTTGATCACTGGTCTCTGTAAGGAGCAGAAGATTCAAGAAGCTGTTGAGCTTCTTGATAAAATGAATCTTCAGGGTTTGAAACCTGATGCTGGGTTATATGGGAAAGTAATCAGTGGGTTCTGTGCTGATAGTAAGTTTCGTGAAGCTGCTAATTTTCTTGATGAGATGATTTTGGAGGGGTAACTCCAAATCGTTTAACAAGGAACATCCATGTTAAGACAAGTAATGAAGTAGTCCAAGGTCTCTGTGCAAGTTATCCAGCTCACGCATTTACTATATATCTAAGCATGAGAAGTAGAGGCATCTCGGTTGAGGTTGAGACATTAAAATCTTTGGTGAAGTGTTTGTGCAAAAAGGGTGAGTTTCAAAAAGCTGTTCAGTTAGTTAACAAGATAGTGGCTGATGGGTGTATTCCAAATTAAGGAACGTGGAAGCTGCTTATAGGTCACATGTTGGATAAAACGATTGTTGGAGAAGCTTCAAAATCTCTTCTCAGAGATTTGGAGATCTAAATATAAAAGGAAGATTAGATGAAGACCTGAAACAAACATGTGGAATAAAAAAAAGTTACACATGCGTTGAGAAGCTCCACTACTTCCACTGATGGTTCGGGGAAGAAACAGTTGAACACATTCTAAACAAACATAATCGCGGTTCCAAATACCAGAAAAGTCAGAATGACATGTACAAAGTCTATAAACTGTACAAAGTCTATAAATTGTAGCGGTAGCTTTTGGAACTTTATTTAGGAAGAACAACTTTGCCACGATTATCTGGAAACTATTGATTGTGACAAGTCCTTTAGCAAACAGTTCTATTCAAGTCCTTGTAAGAATCAATGAAGCTAAGTACGAAGCAAGCGAATCTGCAGATGCAAACCTATTGTGAAAATCCGCAAGAAGGCCTAATGTGCGAGAAATGTCCAATGATTTTCTTTTTGTTTTAAAAATTACCTTTGAAATTTAATTATGAATAAGTTTGCTTCCAAAGTTTTAAAATATTTTTTTGTCAATGAAGCTAAGTACGAAGCAATCGAATCCGCAGATGCAAACCTATTGTGAAAATCCGCAAGAAGTCCTAATGTGCGAGAAATGTCCCTTGATTTTCTTTTTGTTTTAAAAATTAACTTTGAAATTTAATTATGAATAAGTTTGCTTCCAAAGTTTTTAAAATATTGTTTTATTTTGATATTAGGGTGTGGCCCGCCCATTAGTAATTGAAAAATTAAATAATATATCATCAATTTTATTGAGTATTTTAATTTTTTAACTTATTAAGTATTTTAAAATGATTAATATTTTAACTGAAAGTGATCTTTATTTCAATATGTAGATCTGTTATTCTTATTAGAGATAATCCTTATAATTATAAAACAAAAATTAGAATTATACATGTATGTCAAGTCTTAAAATTGATTAAGACTATAGATTTCTATATTATTATCTATTTTGGGTAACGGTGATAAAATGATGCCTGAACTCTATCATGCTTTTTCCAGCATATCTTTTGAACTTTCTTGAGGAAAACTTGAAATATTGATAAATACCCACATACTATAAGTTATTCACTGTTAGTTTCAATAAACCTAACGTTCTTGGTTGTTTGTAGAGGAAATGCTAATAAATATCCACATATTATAATTTCTATATGTTTGTTTTTTCTTCTTAAAACCACAAAATAAAAGGTGAATTTCATTTAAATATCATCTATTAACTTTTGCGGTTATAAAATGTGGAGAGAAGTACATATACACCTCATAGCTTTTGGCATGATCTTCATGATCGGACAATCTTACCATATGATTCAAGTGTAGGTAAAAATAGTTTGGGTACTACATAACACACTATATGATTAAACCTAGGGTCAATACGCGCTACGTGTGATGTATATAACTATATAAGTGTATATTAATGTTTATCGTTTTAAACAATGCTAGGGTGTGTGGGGATAATGTATGTTAGGACTAATTATGTTTGATTTCGTATTTGTGTCTATATTAATAGATTGCAGTGAATGAGATATTATATTGGGTGGATGAGATGTAGGTGATGTAAGAGGTAGAGTATGTTAGATTTCTCAAATATTTGCGGAGATATTATTTATATGGTTTAAACCGTTGATATTTATTTAAATTTATGTTTTAGTGTTTATTTAACCTTCTAATGTGTTTTATGACATTATTATATTGTAATTAATATTTTTATTTTTCTTTTTGTTGTTATTTTATAATAAAAATAAATTATCATATTTGTATGAATTTGACCATTTATCTCTATAATTGTTAAAATATATTTATTTTTATATTATTTTGTATGGACATATATTTTAATTATTTTTTTGTATTTTTTTGATATTCTGATTAGTTTGTATTGTCAATAGTTCCCATTTTGATTTGATTTTCTTATCTAATTAATTACGAGTTGAACCAAACCATTAATTTGATTCGTGAAAATACGGGATTCTGATCTCTTTTCACTTAGATCTCGTATGATTGCATTCACATAAGTTGTAAAATTGACTCTCTGGTTGGCCCATTGGACATATTTTCACATTTAAATCTAATTAAAAGTTCAATTTTTTTTTTATAAACCAAAAAAAATGTATGCATCTCCTCTTTGCATACATCATTCATGCGGTCAATTCTAATTTTTCTTCTTCTTCTCTTCCGTACACCCATGTTCATCTATTATTATTCTTTTGTGTTGTTATTCTTTTCTTATTTGCATGTACATGAAGTTAGGAGACGTTCTCATCGTCGCCTCCATATCATCGCCTTCGTTAAGCCTCCTCATGTTTGTCTAACGCCAGAGTTCACCGCCGCACATCACCTGTGCGACTTCCATGCATTTCCGTTGTTGTAGGTCTAAGATGTGAGACGAATCCAAGTCGGAGCCATGGCGTTCTTCACCACCAACTACCACCGGTCATGGATCTATACCTCCGGTATGTCGCATGGCTTTAAAGGGTGTATGGCAGCTCTAGATCGGATTAAGCATAGTTGAAGTCATCAACTTCCGAGGTTGAAGCTCCGGTTGGTGTTGTAAGATCTGACTACCGCTTCCGGCTATCATAAGAAAATGATTAAGTCATCGTATATTGATGAAGCACCCCTTGAGATCGTAGGTTTAGCTTAACCGGTTGAAGAAAATCAAAGACATGGAACTTTGAAATTCTTGATTTTTATTAAATATAATTAACGGCTCAAAATGATGTCTACATTAAGAGACTGGATTTTTCGTTTTGGGTTTGATAGAAATTTATTTGTTAAATAAAAAATTGCCACGTGTCAACACCAAATTTAAACTTTGATTTTGATGATGTGGCACTCTATATGAAGAGATCATTCTCATTTATATATATAGATTTCTTATGTTAATGGAGTTGTTAGTTGTTAATTTGAAATTGTAACTTGTTTATGTTTTTTTCTCTTTCAAATACAACTTATGGATCATGTCACCAAGATTTCATTAGTGTAAATTGTTTAACCTTACCAAGTTTGTGAGCTAAAGTGTCTACTTTTGAATCAAAACAAGTATTTAGGTAACCAAAAACCAATGTAGAACAAAACCCCTTGTAGAATTGAACCCGATGTTAGAATGGATTCAATAAGGTTTATATTGTGTTATTATATCCAAAACAAACCTGATAAAACCGAAACGAATCTAAACCAAATTTTAAAAATACTCGAATATGGTTAAATTTTATTTCTCCCAGAAAGTAAAACACTATTCAACCCGATTGGATATCCAAATGATCTGAATTCCCAAAGAGTAATGGATATATACATAGTTAGTAATTAAAAAACTAAATCTAGTTCAAACAAAAACCTGAACTTCCAGAAATATTTGATCAAATTTAATTAGAAATCAAATAATTAAAAAAGGAAGGTAAATAAATTGCTTGCTCTTTGCTGATTTTGTAAACATGATTCTCTTATGTCATCAACTTAAACAGGATCTATGAAGATTATGCAAACCGAACTAGTAACTCTGCATTCATATGAACAATGATTTTTTTTTTCTGGCCCTTTTAGCAAAACTATCCGCCTTTGTATTCAGCGTTCGGGGTATATGAATGATCTCTGAGTGAATAAAGTTTTCTTGAAAGATCTTGATGTCTTCCAAATAATTCATAAAAGCTGGTCATTCCTCTGGTGCAGAAACCATCTTCACCAATTGAACACAATCTGTTGTAAATGTAACGTGCTATTGATGTAATTTCCTCATACTTCCCATTGTCCATATGAGGGCTTCCATCTTCGAGTGTAACGAAGAATGGCTTGCTCTTGTATTCCTTGCCCCCATCATCCCTCAGAACCTTCTAGCGTACTATACCAGCCATGTCCCGAGTACATCTCTTGGTCTTTCCATGATACGTCCGTACAATATCAGAAACCTGGAATTGGAGGAAAAGCATTCTATTTCGTCTCACTTGATTGAGTGATTCCACGTGTGACTGGGACTTAAGTCCCTGTCCAAAGTAAAGATTCAATCTCTGACAGTTTTAGAGTATCTCTAGGATCAAGTTCTATATTACTGAAAACCTTATTATCATGTTCCTTCCAGATATACTATAAAATTTATGCAAATTGATGATCTTCCATATGCAGAGACACCCTGCAGTATAGATAATCCATGTTTGGATTTGATGGAATTCTAGAGAGAGCCCAAACATGAACCGCTGGAGGACATTCAAAAAACACATGGTTAATTGATTCTTCGATGGTTCCGCATCTTTCACACTGCATATTGCCTTGTATACCTCTTGCACACAAATATTTCTTTACCGATATGCACCCCAAAAGTAACTGCCATAGAAAAATATTTTATTTTCGATGGGCATCGAATCTTTCAATAATGAGCCTTTAAGGGTTGACCGTGGGACCATACACCGGCAATGATT